CCCCAGCCGGGCACTTCCCCTCCCGGGCTCCGGCGGCGCAGGGTCTGGAGGCATGGGGCTGCCCGAAGCCGGTAGCGTTCAGGCAGCCCGGCTCTTAAACAGAGCCGCCATTTTCCCGGACATGTTCGGCTTTTTGGCAATTCCCCCCGGACGGGGGTTTGACTGCCGAAAAGCCGGACATGTCCGGGAAAAAGAGGACGTATGGTAACCCTACCAGAGCCCCTTCCTGCACACCACACCCCCTCCCACACCCTGCACTCTCTCCCGCACCCCAACCCCCTGCCCTGGCCCTGCATACAATTTGCCCTCCTAGATGTGGCCCTCAGCCCAAAAAGTTTGCCCACCCCTGCTCTAAGGCAATTGAATATTGCCCTAACCATGAGACTATCCTTTCTGTTCCTGCAGTCTCCTGCCTCATTCATGACACACCTTTCAACTTCTAAATTAAGGATAGCATAATGTATACAAACAAAGGGCCCAAATTAAGATTGCATAGGCATATACTACTGCATGCTCAGTTGCTTTGTAACACAAAAGAACCACGAGGGGGATGGAGCTCGTGCAGTCACACTGTGGGGGTAACACATGCACAGCCTGATCAATACCAGGAGCTGTAAGAGGCCTGAGCATGCTCAATGAGGATAGAATCGTCCACGTTTCTAGCTGCTAAGAACTGAAGTAGTATCTACTGAAAGTGTGCACACAGTGATTTTTCTAAAGCTTATAACTTGGCCAAATTTGGGCAGACATGGCCACCCTCTTGCCAAATTTCAAGTCTCTGCTACAAGATATGGGGGTGCTTTAACTTTTTAAAGAAAAGGTCACCAGAATTTTTTAATATGGGTAAAACAATGTTTTCCCCTAGCTTTGTTCTTGGAAACTGCTGAACCATTTTGGATGAAGTTTTCCAAAAGCTTTCAGCTTGAGCAGACGGGGATGAAAATTTCAGCCCAAATGCTTAGAGTTTGGCAAAGTTATAAGCAACTAAAAAGCAAAGTCAGAGGGATTGTCTACATTACCTGCCAGACTGGCAGCAGCAATCGATCCAGCGGGGATTGATTTATCGTGTCTAGTATAGATGCGATAAATCGACTGAGCGCTCTCCCGTCGATTCCAGTACTCCACCAAAACGAGAAGCGCAAGCGGAGTTGACGGGAGAGCATCAGCTGTCAACTTACCGCAGTAAGTAGATCTAAGTATGTCGACTTCAGCTACATAACTTCAGCTACGTGAATAGCGTATCTTACATTGACCCCACGTGGTAGTGTAGACAAGCCCTCAAAGTGGGAAGTGTCAAGCAACCTCAACAGCTTCTTAAGTACCACTAGCCCTGCTACAATAAACATGCATCTTTTTATGAATTACATCTTTTGGGGTCATCTTATGTCTTGCGAATTGAACATTTTGGTGCTGTTACGGTATTCTGTTCACGAGTACAATAAACATATTTGTCACATTTCCAAGCAGTGTGAGACAGCTGAGGCTAGAACATTCCTGACCCAATATCTGGAAAGATTATGCTTTCTCATGAATATAAAAAGAATGAAGGTATGTTTGTAGCAAAGTTCTTTTTTTTTAAATAATATACTGTAGCAGAATATGTTTCTTGAGTGTTTATTGCCACTATGCTTGCATGTATATGTTCAGATTGAGGTCTATTGCCTGTCCCAAGATCTACTGCCTATAAAATAATGCTTCATTTATCACTCACTTATGAAGGAGGTTAACAATAAAAGTTTTATGTAAGTGACATAAAACATCTAAATGAATGAAGTTTAACTGTTGAATACATGGAAATACAAATCTCAAACATAGAACAATATCATGTGCATGAATTTTAGACTTTCCTGTCCAAAAACTGAAGAAAAGTTTGTTCTTTAAAACTTGAGTATTATTGTTAACAAGTCTTTTAAGATTACATTTTATGGATAATTTGATCTAATCAGAGCTAGCAATATATTACCCAAACTGCCAATATGTAACACCAGCCAAACAGTATAATGAGAGTTCAACAAGCAACATAGCTTCATCCAAACTTTTAGGACAGAATGCACTGAGGTGGTGGTCAAGGCAGCACAATCAGCCCATAGGGTGTAAGGAATGCCTTGTATTGCTTTGTAGTGACCCCTGCCAGTGTTCTGAAGATATGTCACCATCAAACTCCCAAAATAAATTAATTTATTAGGCACCCATTCTGGATTCTAGGTGCTGAAGTGCATCCAGCCTTCCTGAGGGAGACTCAATACCATGTGAACTCTCTGAGGGCAGGAATAAATAGGAGAACGTTGCACCAAAGAGAAAATTTGACTGGGAAGTCAGCAAGTGACCGCACTGTCATCCTCCTCCTTCCTGGGATTTCACCAGGAAAGTTTTGAATTTCTGAATAAGCACATCTCCAAGCTGGGCTGGCATAGCCCAATTTTGAGGCCTAGCCAACTGATTCCAAGCTCCTAATGCAGAATGACATATGCAGGTGGCTGTGCCTGCGCAGGCATTTCTCGTGTCATTTCTGGTGCCAGAGGCCCAGTGATAGAGTTCCACTGGCATATGAAATGAATCTTACACCCCACATGTAATTTAAAATACTGACCAATTTCTATAGATAGTGAACAGCTGGGAAAAAGAAGGAAGCTTCAGAAATGCAAATATATAAAATAAAACTAAAATGCCTTTACCTTGGAACCAGGAAGGCCAGGAACACCTACTAAGCCATCTTCCCCCTGAAACAAAATGTACATAACCTTCATTATTTGGCTCTCACGCACATGAGCAAACCACAAGAAAAATCAAAGACTACTTATTCCCAGCAATATTTTCAAAGCAAGTCCCAATAGTTTTACATGTGATTATGGATAGATATTTGACTCTTTAATCATTTTGTATATTATATGTATTTTTACAGCAACATCCTGGGTATATGCTGTATAGCTATAAACATACTGCTAATTTTTGTTGCTTTGTTCAAACTATATTTCACTCAGAAAATCGTGAATAATGACTAGTTGCAGTGCATCAAGGAGTACTGCGAATTCTCTTCATTTTACTGTGAGTGACAGGATTTCAGAGGTTTCTGGAGCCCATTGTGTGATGACATAAGGAAGCTCCAGCTCCCTCACAAAGTTCAGCCCTGCCAAAAGCCAGAAGAGTCTCCTCTGTTCGTTGTTTTCACAGGAGGGAAGAAGGAAGCAGAGAGCCCAGCAGCTCAGAGCGGGTCCAGTCCCTCTTCTCCCCTCTCTTGTGAGCAACTGGGACAGAACAGCACATCTGCTCCCCTCCACTACTCCCTGCAGCACCCAGCCTGGGAAGGGAAATGGGGAGGGGTGAAGAGCCTCCATAGCTGCCCTCCAGCCTGGGAAGGGGGAGAGTTGACTCCACTGTTGCTGCCCCCTGGCCTCAGAGAGGGGAGTGAAAAACCCCATGAGAAGCAGAGGTAAGGAATATAGACCCACATTACAGCTGGGTGAACTATGGTTTTAAACTGGGTTTCGATGTTAGCCTGAGTGACAGGCCCAAGGCACGTGACCAAAAGGAATGTGTTCATGAGAAAGAAGAGTTGTTTCGTGTTAAACTTGTAGTGACTCTTGAAATACCATTCTTATCTTATTTAAGGTTTGGGCTGGAGTAATAAAAATAAAGAAAAACATGGTTAGTTGGATAATAGGTGAAGTAAACAATTATTCGTTTGTTTCAAAAGAAATACTTAGTTCAATAGCTAGGGAAAAATTCAGCAAAATAAGATAAGGAGGAAACCCTGAAAAGAAAGGGGCCCAGCCACGAACCTTGTCTTAACCAGGCCAGGGGGCACGGTTCAGCCCCAACAATCTCTCATCTAGCTTTGGCTAAGGTCCAATAACAGCAATGGAATCACTGGTATATTATAATGTATGAAAAGCAAGGTTTGTTTGGAATTTCTTTGTCGGTTCTTTTCCTTCTCTCTCTGGAGTCATGCCATGATGGGAAAATATCTCCTGCGCCTGATCCTGTTGTAAATATTTTGGCCAATGCTTATAACTGTATTGTTGCTAGGAGTATAAGTATATATATGCTAGTATTGGTATTTTGTATATCACCAACACCAGTTGGCCATTGGACTAATAAAGGAATACTTGTGTGGAAGCTGAGTCATAGTAAGCCTTAATAAATTTATTAGGAAAATCATTTCTAACAGCAGAGCAGAATTAACTGCTGGGCAGGGGCTGGGCAGATGTGCAAAAATCTCTGTAAGTAATTCATTTGGGAGAGTGGGCAACACTAATGGTCACACACACACACAAAACAAACACACGGAAGAGCTGGGGAGAGTTAAAAAATGTCAAAAGACAAATAAAAAATATAATCCCAACAATATATTTTTTTAAATCATGATTTTTGGGGGTCTGATCTCTTGAGGTTGGCAATATTAATCTAGTTATATGTTCAAAAGGTAATATTCTAGTCCTTCCTGAATGCTGTACCATTGCTTTATAACTTCTGGGCAAGAGCCATGATTAGAGAGTTAGGGGCATATTCTGAGGCTATGTCTACACTAGCGCGGTAAGTCAACCTAAGTTACGCAACTCCAGCTATGGGAGTAACGTAGCTCAGGGATCGGCAACCTTTGGCATGCGGCCCGCCAGGGTAAGCCCCCTGGCGTGCTGGGCCAGTTGGTTTACCTGCTGCGTCCGCAGGTTTGGCCGATCGCGGCTCCCACTGGCCGCGGTTCGCCGCTCCAGGCCAATGGGGGTGGCGGGAAGCGGCAGCTAGCACAGCCCTCTGCCTGCGCCGCTTCCGCAGCCCCCATTGGCCTGGGACGGTGAACCGCTGGCCTGACGTAGCTGGAGTCGATGTAGCTTAGGTCGACTTATCCCAGTGTCTTCACTGTCCACGTTGACGGGAGACACTCTCCCGTCTACTTACCTTACTCCTCTTTTTCCTGGTGGAGTACCGGAGAGTGCTCTGCCGTCGATTTAGTGGGTTTTCACTAGACCCACTACATGGACCCCTGGTGCATCGATCGCTGGAGTACCGATGCTGCGGTAGTGTAAACATAGCTTGATTGATCTTTCAGTAATGTAACTCAGGAATAATTCCACTGAAATCAGTGGTATTACATCAGCGAAAGTGGTATCAGAATTAAGTTCTAATTTCAAAAGGTATTCATGCTGTGTTTCACAGAAGACTCCGTCTTGAATCTTGCCAGGAAGACTATGATTGATTAATAAAAAAATACTGATCTTTGTTGGGGAGCTTTTCAAAGTGAGGGACAATTCAACACTGCACTTAACACATGGCTTTCCAAGGAAAAGCATAACCAAAAGAAATGTTAAGAATTCATTATCGTTAAATGAATCCCTTCAATAAGCATGAACACAAAGAAGTAAAGCTCCTTATATGGTCAACCTCTAATTTTTGTCTCCACAATGGAGAAAATGAAAATGCTTCCAGTGTATACAGTTGGACAATTCAATGAAAATATCTGTTCAATGTACATAGGTAATTAAATAGTGTGTAGTAAGGAAGGGTTAAGCCATTATATAAATTTATGGTATTGGTCTAACTTTGAATACTGCATTTATTTCTCGTCACTTCACCACTAAAAGCATATAGCACAAACAGAAGAGATTCAGACAAGTGATGGAAATGGTCAGAGGTATAGAAAGACTTCCATATATGACAAGATTAGGACTATATAGTTCTAATTTACTTATTAGTTATACAGTAATAAAAGGCTAGAGATGGTAAAGTGGACTTTCATAATGAAGTATATGGAAATATTACATGAAGTTAATGACAATAAAATTTTAAAATTATTACATTAAAAACTTTTTAAAAAACCACACAATACATCTTGTGACAGTGAGTTCCTTCTGTTATTAAGATCAGGAACTTATCCAAATTCAGTGAAGGACTGGACATTTATATGACTAACAGCATCCACAATTATAAAGAATAAAAATGCATAAGATATAGACCAGGGGTCTGCAACATTTGGCACGTGGCTCGCCAGGGTAAGCACCCTGGAGGGCTGGGCCAGTTTATTTACCTGCTGACGTGGCAGATTCGGCTGATCGCAGCCCCACTCGCTGCGGTTCGCCGTCCCAAGCCAATGGAGGCGGCGCGGGTGAGGGATGTGCTGGCCGCGGCTTCCCACCGCCCCCATTGGCCCGGGACGACGAACCGCGGCCAGTGGGGGCCGCGATCGGCCGAACCTGCCACGTCAGCAGGTAAATAAACTGGCCGGCCCGCCTGGGTACTTACCCTGGCGAGCCGCGTGCCAAACGTTGCCAACCCCTGATATAGACACAAAGAGTGTTCTTTGCTCCTGGCAAATCACGTGCTGAGCCATTCAGGCTGAAGCCTACTTGCACTTTGAAATACACAAGAACATTAATTAATTAGCATTCCCTACAGAAGCTTTGACACTAGCTCAGAGAATTCAGCCATAAAATCTCCTCCATTGCCCCCATAAATCTTTATGGGCTTTTCACCAGCAAAACTATAGACTTTGATCCCAAGTAACTCCCACTGCACTCGATTCACTATTTTCCATCCACATCCACTAAGTAACACAAACCTTGGAACTCTCACTTTTCTACCTCCAAGTCATACAAAATATACAAAAAGGACAAAGGAGGAGGAAGAAACTCTCACCACGCCCTAATACTATGGCCAAAGAGACAAAAACAATTGACTCATCCATAGAACACAAGAAATTAAATAAATAAATACAAAGCTCTTGTGGTCTACAGCAGTCTTATAACTCAACCCTGGTAAAATGGGGTTTTTATAAACTCCATTTGTGGCATGTTTTCCAGTCTCTGGATCATTCATTTGGTTCTTCTTGGTCAAAACAGATGTAAATGCAATGGAAAAATTCTGATAAGTTATTAAAAATAATTCACATATGTAGATTTGCGGAAAACTAGGAATTCAGATACTTTTGACAGACTAGTAATAATCCTAGATAACAATTTTCTATCTACACACAGTTGCATCAGTACAAACCAGAAAACATAAAAGTTTCTCTCCATAAAAGGAACAGGTCAAATGAAATATTTTTAGAAATCTGGTTAAATGATATTTTATCATTGATCATAGTCCATTATTTTAACATGTACCTGATTTTAAAGTATTAACTAGTACTAATGTAAGATTACTCAAAATGGTACCAAAAATTAATTAAGCACTAGATTACCTAAACATATTTTAAAAAGTAAGGAGAAACCTAAACAAATAATTTGGAATCATTGAGAATTTACAACATTTTAGAAGTTAATGTGGTATATAATATCAAACATATTAGAAATTAATGAGATTCCCTTCAGGGATGGGAAAGAAAAAATATTAATTACTTTAAAAACCACTTAAAAGGGTAATAGATGTTTCACGGACAAGTTTATGAAATCCACGATGTCTGGATGTATCCCATCATCAATATAAAAGCAAAAAGAGTCCTATTATTTATGACTTGGGACACTACTTACAGGATGTATTGGATACATCAGAAACATTAGCCATTCAATTCCTTTTAATATCAATGAACATAATGCAATTAAAACCTACTCACTGTTTTGAAAATTTATGGATTTGTGCCTTTCATTTACCTTGAGTTGCCAGGCCTTTGGATCCACTCAAAGGCCCTGCCTTTTTGAAAATGGGAACACCTATTTTTTGTGGTAAATAAATGGAGCGTAATGATCAAAAATGGACCACCACAGGGTCATACTAATGCTGCTTCAAA